CATCCAGTCATTATTAGCCAGCTGGACTGAGTTGAGATAAATTACTAATCAACTCAAGGTACCGACCCTGCCTACAAGAGGCAGGCCATTTCCTCCTGGCTGCGGAAGATGCAACAGTGTCCTTGGTGCCGCAGCCCAGGCTGGTGCGCAACAACGACAGACTTTTTAGTAGAGCCTATAGTGACAGGACAAGGTGTAACAGTTTTAAACTAAAAGAGGATAGATTCAGACAAAATACAAAGACGACATTTTTTTTTTTTTACAATGAACATGGTGAAGCACTGGAACAGGTTGCCCGGCAAGGTGGTAGATGCCCCATTCCTGGAAACGTTCAAGGTCAGGTTGGATGCGGCTCTGATCAACCTGACCTAGTTGAAGATGTCCCTTCTCATTGTGGAAGTGATTGGACTAGATGACTTTTAAAGGTCCCTTCCAACCCAAACCATTCTATGCTACTATTCTCCACAACAGAAGCATTTATAAGCCAACTTAAAAAACTTGCATTTTCTGGGTAGATGTCTAACAAACAATGCCTACAAATCAAACTCCAACTCACAAACATCTACGTGTTTCTGTCTTACAGACAGGTACTTTAAAGGATATATAACCAATTAACCAGTATCCATCACATAGTCAGATAACTGGTAATTCACCATAAAAAGAGCTTAGTACTAACAAAAAAGCTTAGTTCATCATGAATGATGTGAAAAAAAAACCGTAAAGCTGAGCCAGACAGATATCACGTTGATCAGTAATAACTTTAGATTAGGCCTGTAAATAACACCCAACAAGAACTAATGTCAATACAGCAGTAAGAAAAAGAGCAAAAGACGAAGCCATACCCAAAACCAACTTAAGAGCAAGAGAGAAGGGGTTCTTAGACAAAAAGACTTGATCTCCAAAGTAAAGCAGAGAAAAATGTTGTCACAATCCTGAGAAATTTGGTATGTGGGTAAGCAGGCCTGAAACAAGCCTTTCTCAAAGCTCCTGCCACTCACACATACTAATGTTCCCATAAGAAACTTCATATTTATAAGATGGCACAAGTTCTTTGGGTTGAAAGAATATAAAGATAGTATCTTGTTTTGTGCATGACAAATACTCTTGAACTCTGCTCAAATCAGGCTTTCAAATAAGTATTAGTGAGTCATGCCTTCTGTTCCTCCATTTTATCTATGAGACCAAATACCTTTTTAAACAAATCACTTCCTCAGTCCAACTACTCTTACCTTTATCTCTTCAGCTTGCTCACAGCAATCAAATAAGTTGTAGCATGAAATCTTCACCACTTTAAAAACTGGACAGAATAGAGTATGTTCCAGTTATTCATGGAGAAGCCAGCATGATAAATCTGTCCTTTGCTGACCCTCTGAACTAATTTCCATAAGCATTTTGCTCCTTTTCTTAAACTGTTCTATGGTCTAGGCACAAGTCATGCAGAACACTGTTTAAAGGTCTAAAATTGTGGTAAATGAATTTGTGCCTCTGGAAAATAACTCTTCAGGAATGAAATCAAGAGTGTAAGGAATACTACCATCTACCATTTCAGTATTTCCTAGGTCTTGCCCTGCCTAACATAATTAGGTAACAATACTGAAATACACTTTGCTAGGTACACTTCTAACCCTGGTGAAAATGTTAAAAGAAGAGTCAAAACTCAGCCATTCTGTTATCATACTGCTTAATGCACTACAGAATAAACTCACAGTGAGATTATACAAAGAGAAGGAAAAAAAAGAAATGGAAGGATCAGAATACAGCTATCATTCTGTATGATACACCAATGGCGTTGTAGCTCTAAGGATGTAAGGCAAGTTTTGTGGGATGAACTATGCTTTTTTCTTTTTTAGACAAATTGAGGTTGGTGCAAAGACGAGCTTTCACATATGATGTCTGGAAAAAACAGCCTTTGTATGGGTAATTCTTACCAAGGATACTATCATCCTACATGACTGCAGTCTTACCAGCAAACTACCTAAGTTGTGTTAGATCACCAACAGTCTCAGACAAATCAAAACTCATGAGCTAAACGAACACTTGAGGAAAAAACATAAGCAAAGAAACTTGGCTTCAAACTGATAATTATTTTCAACTGAAAAACTGTAAACACACACTGCAGTCTCACCATCTCAAAATAAAGACAGTTATTATCAGGACCTACAAGGAGCAAGCAACGGCAAGAACACTTCATGTCCTTTTGAATAGCTACTTCATGGCTTCACTAAAGGCAAATCATGCCTAACAAATTTGGAGGCCTTCTACAATGACGGGGTAACAGCACTGGTGGATAAGAGAACTGACATCATCTACCTGGACTTGTGCAAAGCATTTGACACTGTCCTGTGTCTCTAAATTGGAGACACATGGACTTGACGGATGGATCACTTGGATAGGAAACTGGCTGAATGGTTGCACTCAAAAAGTTGCGATCAATAGCTCGATGTCCAAGTGGAGACTAGTGACCAATGGCATTCCTCAGGGGTTGGTTACTGGGGCTGGTACTATTTAGTATCTTTGTCAGTCACACAGAGACAGTGGGATCAAGTGCACCCTCAGCAAGTTTGCAGATGACACCAAGCTGTGTAGTGTGGTTGACACACTGGAGGGAAGGGACGCCATCCAGAGGGACCTTGACAGGCTTGAGGGGTGGGGGCCTGTGTGAACCTCAATGTTCAACAAGGCCAAGTGCAAGGTCCTGCACATTATTCAGAGCAATCCCAAGCACAAAAGCAGGCTGGGCAGAGAACAGATCAATAGCAGCCCTGAGGAGGAGAACTAGGGGGTGTTGGTTGAGGAGAAGCTCAACATGAGCGGGCAATGTGCACTGGCAGCCCAGAAAGTCAACTGTATCCTGGGCTGCATCAAAAGAAGCGCGGCGGTCGAGGGAGGTGATTCTGCCCCTCTACTCTGTTCTCATAAGACCCCACCTGCAGTACTGCATTCAGCTCTGGGGCCCCCAACAGAAGAATAATAATGAGCTGTTGGAGTGGGTCCAGAGGAAGGCCACAAAGATGATCAGAGGACTGGAGCATCTCTAATAAAGATAGGCTGAGAGAGTTGGGGTTGTTCAGCCTGGAGGAGAGAAGGCTCCAGAGAGACCTTCTAGCAGACTTCCAGTACCTAAAGGGGGCCTACAAGAAAGCTGGAGAGGGATATTTCACAAGGGTATGGAGTGATAGGAGAAGGGGCAATGGCTTTAAACTGAGAGTCAATTTAGATAACATATAAGGAAGAAATTTTTCACTCTGAGGGTGTTAAGGCAACGGAACAGGTTGCCCAGATTAAGTTGTGGATGCCCCATCACTGGAAGTGTTCAAGGCCAGGTCAGATGAGGCTCTGAGCACTATCTGATCTAGGGTAAGGTGTCCCTGCCCATAGCAGCAGGGTTGGAACCACATGATCTTTAAGGTCCCTTCCAACCCAAACCATTCTATGATTCTATACATTAATTCCAAATTACATCTTTTAATTTACTTACTGAAATGTAGCTCTGCTCTTGCTTTCAGATTTAAAAAAAACCACTACATTAAATTCATGAACTCAGCATAAATCAAATCCATTTTGATTCCCCTAGTCTGCAGACAGCCTGAAATAGCAGCCCTCAAGTAAATGAGTTAGGTCACTTATTTTAACAGACAGCAACCTTAAAAATTAATTATTATTATTATTATATTTAAGTATCAATAGTATTAATTGTTGCACTGCTGATCAGTTCTAGGAGAAATATGTGCCAAAAAGCCCTCATAAGTCTCCCCATAACTTCCAAAATATCCAGCTGTACCCTATGAGTTAATTAGAAAATTTTAAATGCAGTGTAGGTTTACTGGAGGATGCACAGGCTGCAGTGTGAAACAAGAATCTGCATCACTGTTTTACTGGAAGGAAATAAAAAATTACAGAGGAGGAATTTGGTTTAGTTGTGTACATTGTACAGTCTTATGTACATTAAGAGTGAAAGAATTTTGTTTGGTTGGTTACAGACAAAAATGTATAACGGTACAGACTACAGAAACAATCAACAAAAACTTTACAGATGATCTCAAATACAGTTCCACTAACGTAGTAAAAAGTTCAAACATCTTGTTTTCGCTTTGTATCTCACTTTTTCATTGCGTCAGTCAATATAATCTTAGATTTGGTTTTCCATATTGTAATACCACTTAATGTAGTGAAGGTGAGAATTTAGTCTGTTAATAGAAACAAAGTATGTATTATATCAGGAAGTTATCAAAATTTCCAGAAACAATTCATAAAAGTTACTAGAAAAAAATTAAATGCTGATATAATCAGTTATCTACAACATTTTTCAGTAATGAACCTTAAAAAAATATTTTTTTTTAAACTTCCAGCTAAATAAAAATAATATTAAGCATAGAGTATATTTTTGTCTCTTACACCAAATTCAATGTAATTATTCCAACTATTCATCAATAACTTTAGGGACTGTATACGTCTTTTTTCTTTTGATCTTCCAAAACTACTCCACAACTCCTAAGATTATTTTTATTTTGCTCGAAATTCATTCTGGATGAGGTGTTCCCAAACAGTAAACGAGAATTGCACTACCATTCTAGGGTTTTGTTTTAAGCCAACCAAAGCAAAACACTCAGAATCTGGTATCTGCCCAGTCCTAGAAGGCCTAGCACTAACAGAATAAATCTGAGGTCAGAGCAGTAATTTGTACAACTCACTCCTGCTGTTAATCCAGAGTGACTGCATTTTTTTAAGACAACTATTAACTTCACTGATCAAGTACAGTACTTACACTAAAGAAATCACCTAAATTACTTCTGACTCAGATTAGGAGCCTTCCTCTATTGTTACGCGACCGAGTTAAAAAGAATTGCACATGGTTTACATGCCAGGCATGTAAGCAGCGCAACAAAAAGGGCAGGAAGGAGACAGAAATCCCAAATTATTATTTCTACATTAAGAAAAAGGGTTGGTACTAGAGTATAACTGTATTTTAAATTGTAATCTTAAAAAATTGTAACATTTACCTGTTGAACAAGGCATCTGGAAATTGGGATCATTGCTATCCAAAACAGGCAAACAGAACTGGGCACTTGCAGATCCTAGCATAGGATCCTTATCGCTGAGCATGTTCTTCAGCGAATCCTCTAAGACATTTTGACTTGTACTAAAATCCTCACAGACTTCATTCTCCAGGTTGGATCCTAGAAATAGGGCATCATCTAAGTGTTCAGTAGGAATTAAATGGTTAAATGTATCAACTATATCCATGAAGACTCCTGTGTGTCTTTCAGCCCTATAGAAAGACAAGAAAAATACCATAAGAAAATAAGCTACAAATTGTAAAACACCTAAGAAACCAGCAAATTGTTTTGGCTGTTGTGTTTTATAAAGACTGCTTAAGGTATTTTAGAATTGTAACCAAAAAAAAAAAAATCTGCTTATGGCTTAGTATGGCCCATTACATATCTAAAAACCAATTCTCTAACTGACAATTTTTAAAAGAAATCCCATGCTAAGTTGATATAAACTCAGCTATAAGCATCAGAGTTCTGCCACTCCTACAGAGTGTGTAAAACAAGGGTTAACTAAAACACCTCCTTTCTAAAATTTGTTTAAACCTTAACCAATCCAAGGGAGTGGGACACCAGAGGGAAGAGGAAATCAAGAACAAGCCAACCTGGTTAGCAGCACTATGGGCACACATCTTTCTTTACCTTTAAATGTAAACGTGTGGTCAGCTTCCACTAACATCACTGGAGCTGAGAAAGCTCAGGAGCCTGCCATACCAGGCCCAAAATTGAGAAGGATTGTATTTCTGTTCACAGAGGAACTACCAAGTACCTCATAACAAGTAACTATTTTTAAGCAGCAAGGCCTTATCTCCATTATTTTTCACTTATTACATTCCATAAAATTACAGAAATTTTGTATACAAATCTGACTTCAATCAATCATAGGAGAATTCTAAGGTGGCTTCAGAAAGGCCAGGAGCGTTTTAGAAACTTCAGTTTTGAGGTTTAGGTAAAACTTAAGGAACTGTATTCAAAGATAACACCTACATTTTACAAGCAGGGATTCCCCATCTTCTAGATTGCTACTTCGTGATATATCAGAAATGCAACTATAGCAGCAGAGATTCAACTAATAAGAACGTATAACTACACAACAGAATAGAAAAAGAGTCAGCAAAAATGTTCTTCAGAAGTTTAACATAGGCAGATACTTAAGAGTGGGGAGAGATAATTATAATAAATATGGTTACACAGGCAAGGAAAATGGAGAAGTGCAGTAGCGCGTGGCTTGATCTGGCACACAGGAAAGTCTGGGAGACCAGTTTTGGTGCACACAAAGCTATTCAAGCTTTTGGAAACAGAAAACCAGCATATGTTCTCTCCTGCTCCTTCCTTCATCATCCTTCTCCCACATATTAGGTAGGCTTACTTTTTTTTTTGAATGAACGCATCAAAGGAAGAGGAGAAGTGAGATGTAGAGTTCGTAGTGCTTGAATTAATTCCTAGATTCCTACTCCAGCAACCTGGCACTAAATAAACCCAGTATCTACTCATGCTTACTAGAACAGTGAGTATGCTTCCTTATACACATTAATGGGACATTTCTGGTTTAGCAAACAGGGAAAATCCTAGCCATACATATATGTAAGAGCTCTGCTACAGTTTCAACCCTACTGATGCAATTCCTTTAATTTCATAAATTGACAAAAACTTGAGGTGAGCATGAAATACGTTTCATTTTGTGTTTGGTGGGTTGGTTTTTTGTTTTTTTTTTTTTAAAAAAAGACGGTCTTTCTTCCTTCTCCCATAGGGCAGCTCAGAAGAAAACAACTGTCAGGTATGGCATTATGTCTTTGCAGAGCATGGTGTCTTTACAGTATCTACACACTAACCATGACAAAGCACAACGTTTTACTGACCAAACAGCCAGCAAGAAGGAAAGTCAGGCCAAATCAGGTGCATTTAGTAAGTAGGTAACAGCCTTACAGCAGCAAGCATGTTATCATTTAAAAGCCCTCTATACCAAAAAATGGGCTATTTTTATCAAGTAATGCAGTACATCTGTATACACATCACACCAACTAGTACCTACAGCAGTCTACATTCTTTTCACAGTTGTCAACGTAATTTCCAAATTTGGCAACAAATAAAGCAGCAAACTAACAGCGGAAGTGCTATGCTACACTGTACAATCCATATTATGCCATGTAGTTACAACGATCAGATACTATACAGAACAAACCACAAGAGCTGCAGTAGCTCAAAGACAATAATTACAAATGACCCAATCTAGTACTTTAAAACACCTTTCTGTAATGACAGGGGTTTTTTTTTTCATATTAGCATCACACAAGCACAAGAATAACAGACACAGGATAAAACGATGGTGAACCCTGCCAAGGACGCTGCAACAGAACACTCATGAAATACTGTAAGAAACTTTTTGTACCCAAAATTAGATACAAAAGAGTGGCAGGGACTTTGAACACATTTACAATAATATATCTCAAGTGTTTTCATGGATAGGAGGGGAACATTTACGTAACTGTCACTGAAACATTGCTGTTACCAAAGCAGTGCTGGCCACTTCATTAAGAGTAGTGTTGAGTAGCAAAGCTCAAAGAGAACGTTAGCTCTTGCTACAAAAATTGCTGCTGACAGAAACTAACCTCTGTCTTCAGCAAAGCGATGAAAAGAGAACACCTACTTTACAAGACAACCATGAAGCCATTCAGAATATTAAAAGCACTGCAAAATAACTTTCAAAGCAACGATATATGTAATGGCCACAGCCACCTTCAACGACACCTAATTAGCTATTAAAAAATTTTAGAGGAATTTTATTGAAAGCTTTATTTCTGGAGCATAAGTCAATGATTAAGTGTCAGTTCTATCCAAATTTTGCATGAAAAAGTCACTATAAGGATATAAATAAAGTGGTTTTGCATAAAAAAATCCTACCACAACAAAATCTAAGATTAAATTATTTTAAAAACTGTAGAACAAATTCTTAGAGGGGTTATGCCAATCAAGTCCAAGGAATCAAAATTTTGCTTTACCTGGTTCAAGACACCACTGTTCAATTCTTTACACAACTTGTACAGTACCAAGCTTAGAAAACTATTTCTAGCATTACTAGATTAACTATCACACGAACTGCAGAATCTCCAGAGACTGACAATGAAAGATACACTTCCTGCTATACAGTCAATTGCTAGAAATAGTTGCTACCAAAAAAAACCCACAATTATTCCCGCACACAATGCCTAAAATGCATGAATGCTATGATCTTACTGGCATCTCAGAGACATGATGCGATGAATCCTACAACTGGAGTGTTGGAATGGAAGGATATAGACTCTTAAGGAAGGACTTGCAGGAGGAGGTGCCACCTTCTATGTCAATGACCAGCTAGAGTGCATGGAGCTCTGCCTAGGGACAGATGAGGCGACAACTGAGAGTTTATGGGTCAGGATTAAAGGGAGGGCAGGGATAGGAGAGACATTATAGCCAGAGTCTGCTACAGGTCACCCACCAGGAAGACTGAGTGGATGGCACCCTCCATAGACAGAAAGGAGCAGCCTCACATCTCCTCATAGGGACTTCAACCACCCCAATATCTGTTGGAGGGACAATAGCAGGGCATAAGCAATCCAGGAGGTTCCTGGAACGCACTGATGATAACTTTCTTCTCCAAATGATAGAGTAGCCAATGAGGAGAGGTGCTATGCTGGACCTTGTTCTCACCAACAAGGAGGGGATGGTGGGGAATGTGAAGCTCAAGGGCAGCCTTGGCTGCAGTGATCATGAAATGGTGGAATTCAAGATGCTTAGGAAGGCAAGGAGGGCAATCAGCAAGCTTACTATCCAGGACTCCAGAAAAGCAGACTTTAGCCTCTTCAGAGATCTGCTTGGTGAAGTGTACCACGGGATAAAGCCCTGGAGGGAAAAGAGCCCCAAGAAAGTTGGTTAATATTCAAGGATCACCTCCTCCAAGCTCAGGAGCGGTGCATCCCGACAAAGAGGAAGTCGGGGAAAAAAAAACACCAGGAGGCCTGCATGGACGAACAAGGAGCTCCTGGACCAACTCAAAAACTAAAAGGAAGCCTACAGAGGATGGAAGCAAGGACAAGTAGCCTGGGAGGAATACAGAGAAATTGTCTGAGCAACCAAGGTTCAGGTTAGGAAAGCTAAAGCCCTGATAGAATTAATTCTGGCCAGGGATGCCAAAGGTGACAAGAAAAGCTTCTACAGGTATGTCAGTGGTAAAAGGAGGACTAGGGAAAACGTGGGCCCTCTCCAGAAGAAAATGGGAGACCTGGCTACCCAGGATATGGAGAAGGCTGAGGTACTTGACGACTTTTTCATCTCAGACTTCACTGCCAATTGCTCTACCCATACTACCCAAGTCACAGAAGGCAAAGGCAGGGACTGGAGAATGAAGAACCACCCATTGTAGATCAGGTTCAAGACCATCTAAGGTCTTGAAGCACAAGTCCATGGGATCTGATGAGATGCATCTGCAGATCCAGAGGGAACTGGCAGATGAAGTTGCTAAGCTACTATTTACTATATCTGAGAAGTCATGGCAGCCTGGTAAAGATCCCACCGACTGGAAAAGGGGAAACATAGCCCCTGTTTTTAAAAAGGGAAAAAAGGAAGACCCAGGGAACTACAGGGCAGTCAGTCTCACCTCTGTGCCTATCAAGATAATGGAGCATCTGCTGGATGCTCCTGGAAACTATGCCAAGGCACACGGAAAATAAGGAGGTGATTGGTGACAGCCAACATGGCTTCACTAAGGACAAATCATGCCTAACAAATTTGGAGACCTCCTACGATGGGGTTACAGCATTGGTGGATAAGGGAAGAGCAACTGACATCGTCTACCTGGATGTCTCCAAAGCATGTGACACTGTCCGGCATGACATCCTTGTCTCTAAACTGGAGACACATGGACTTGACGGATGGATCACTTGGTGGATAAGGAATTGGCTGGACGATCGCACTCAAAAGAGTTGCGATCGATAGCTCGATGTCCAAGTGGAGACTAGTGACAAATGGCATTCCTCAGGGGTTGGTTACTGGGGCTGGTACTATTTAGTATCTTTGTCAGTCACATGGACAGAGGGATCAAGTGCACCCTCAGCAAGTTTGCAGATGACACCAAGCTGTGTAGCGTGGTCGACACGCTGGAGGGAAGGGATGCCATCCAGAGGGACCTTGACAGGCTTGAGGGGTGGGCCTGTGTGAACCTCATAATGTTCAACAAGGCCAAGGTCAAGTGCAAGGTCCTGCACATTATTC